CCTAGAGTTTATGATCTTATCGAAAAGCGAATTAGCGTTTTTAAATATTGGAAATGAAATTTACTAAATCTACAGAAGACAATGAACGAATAGAAAGTATTAATTCATTACAGTGCTTAACATTGCACAAGTGAAAAACAATCACCGAATGTATATCCTTTCTGCTTTGAAAAAAAAAAAAAAAAAAAAAAAAAAAAAGCCTATAGACCACCTATGAAGTCTTTTTCCATTCCAAAGTATTCCAGATGGTGTTCTTAGCTTAAGGGGTTGTGTTATTTAAATCCTAATGCGGTGTTGCTATGGTTACCCGGGCCATTAGCGTCAACTCTCTTTGGCAAAAAATTTCATTTTCACCTTGGCGAGAAACCTGCCAAACTTAGCAACCCGTTATTCTGACGTCAAAAAACAGGTGCAACGGTCAGCGCCATCTATTGCCAAAAGGCTACATTCGTACTTCTCAAAATTCACTCTTAAGACAAACGAAAGGTAGTTGATTGGTAGCCAAGGTCAAAGTTATCACATAGTCCAATGGAATTCACTACATGAAAACGTGAAAATTTTAGCGCCCTTTCTTCCGGCATATGTGGAAAGAAGTGCATGGGGAGTGCTTCAAATTCCAATTTCAAGGATTATGCAAGTAGTTAAGTGAAATTTTCGCATGTGAAAGGTGGAAAATGAGAAGGCATTTGACGTATTGTGAGAAATGGCGTGCTCTTGGAAGAATGGAAGAGAGACACATACACATCTCTGTAAAGACCTAAATGTAGGCAAAAAGAGTTATGTCAAGAATCTGAAAACAGTTTAAAGACGCTGATGATACGTACAGACAACCACTTCAAAGTTGGAAACGCTCCACTACAGGCTCTAAGGACCGTTATTTGGCAACGATTTATAGTATCTCGTTCTCTTTGGTGACATAAATTTGAGAACTCTACCTAAAACGTAAAGCGACTTATGCGCTGGAAATTATATCAGAGAAACGTACGAAAGATGTAAAGAACCCTTTTATTTAACTCAGAACAAAGTTAATGGAAGGCACTGCTTGTGCTTACAGAGCTAGCCTGCATTTATGGCGCAAATCAAAACGTAAAAGGATTGAAAATAAACTAAGTTAGCCGGAAATGCTATACAGGCAAAAGACGCCGAAGTTGCTGGAACAGTTAATGTCGGCGTGATAAGCCAGCCTAATAATGATAATAACGCAACGAAGGTAAATTGCTTTCAAAAGGATCTAGTAGCAAACGTGGCTTTCAGCAAGCGAAACACGCTCTAATTTTTCCCTCTAAATCCTTCCTTTAAATACTATCTCTTTTCTGCCTCATTTGAATACGCGCAAACTAGAAATTAGCATTCTGGCGGGGAGAAGGAAAGCGAAAAAGGTAATTAACATAAAATAACTGCTTAGTAAAACTAAATGTATACTCTTCAGATTGTTTAAAGAAATACGCAACTGATATGAAGACTACGAATTGACTCAGACTGCAAGAACGTTTGCTGTAGCTAGAGGAACTCGAATATCTAGACATACCGTGAATGGCAGGTGGCATAAAAGAGAGCTGTATGGAAAACATGATTTGTGTCCCACTAACTGAAAACTGCTCAGTTTTAATGACAAAGACATCATCGTGATTGGAGTACCACGGACCTGTGCCGTGTGAGTCTTGATTTTGTCTGGCGAGTGATTCTAAACGCTTTACAATCTGAAGGGAAGAAAACAAACAGAAAATGCCTGAAAGCATGCATGATTTCCGCTTTACATCGGTGCAAAGGTGGTGGAATCGTGATATAGGGGAGCAATCATTTTCAGTGATCACAGTGACCTACACGTTTTTACCAGCGCAAAAATGCATGATAAAATATACAGAATTGACTATGTCAGTTCGCTTAGGAATGCAATTGGTAATAACTTCCTCCTAATGAACCCACCACGACGCTGACTTGCATTCATTGTAGCCCCCACCTAGCACTCTTCGGGAACTTCAAGGCGCTAGTCTACCGCAGAGACTTCTGGTTAATCGAACACCTAATATTAAAAGTTGTTGTAAAATTTGTATATCGGCCAGGAGTCACTAGATACCTTATTAATTTGTTTTATTTTTCTCGAGAATGTTGTAATACAACTTTTCCCTGACCCCACTTTGTACCACATCTCGTATATTCTTATTTAAATTCAGTTTTTGCAGAAATAGGCAATTCTACACTTTGATGATATTCATGACAAAATAAAAATCTGGTGCAAGATCGCGTTCTCAGCTGCAAAATCATTCAAGTTATAAAAGTTTTTATAGTTGCTCTTTTAAATTTTCTGGTATGAGTTTATGTCTACCATTCTTAAAGGATGCTTATTATTTCAGTTAAATTTTTTCAATGCAACCTTGTGTTTTGCAGTGTATCATTTTTACTGATACTGGAATTCGAAAATGCAAGTAAAATAATACAGTATATGACTTGATGAGACATGTAAAATGTTTAATACTCTGAGCGTAAAAAAAAAGGTCAAATTTGTGATTAAATCTATTTTATTAAAAAAAAAGAGAGAGAGAGAGATTTTTTTCAATTGAGTTTTATATCAGAAGATATATATATATATATATTTAATAACATAAATTTCAGTTTTAGTGGACTTACAAGTATAAAGTTTTTCTTAATTTTAAAAAAGAAATCAAAGAAAAAAATGTTTATCAAGAAAATTAATTCCATTGGTTAATGTTAATGAGAGAGTTTTCTGATATTGTATAGTGGCAAATATTATAATGTACATGTTAAAAGTAGAAATATATTTATTTGAAATTAAACAGTGATTGAGTAACATTATCACTATTCTCCTATCCCAGACTTCTGTGTTCCATCTGAGAAGAAACGTATAAGTTAAAATTGGAATTGCATTTCTCTAATATCTGTCTAAATGACTTATTAATCAACTGTAAGCAAAGCTTAAATTGCGCCGGTACCCGGCTCCGGCTGTAGCGCCCGGAGCCCTACATCAGAAGGCTCCGGCGCTTCTTTTATGTAACTGGACAACAATTTCAGGAGAAATTTGATCTCGAAAATATTTATTTTTTCCTATAAAATTATACAGTCAAAAGTCGTTAATTCGGACACCCATAATCCGGAATGATCTATAATCCGGACCTCAAAGCTGCAAACTTTCTGCGCATGCGTCGCGTTCACGCATGCGCACAGGCGTTTACGAGTGCGCGTAAGACCTTTACGGCTGCGAATATGTTTGTGCGCATGCGCGTTTAATGTGTAATTTAAGCTAAGCTAAAATTATCTAATTTAGTTAATGTTGCAGATTGCGTTGTTCCTTAATCTTCGAATTGGATCCGGTTTATTATTTTTTGCAAACTGTTAGAGCAATTTCATAAAAGTAAGCTTGAACTTTCGATCATGTCAAATAGAATTTCCGATATAGTATATTTACTAATATGTAATTTGTATCTAGAAGCGAAAGTATGTTTCGAAATCCGAAATCTGTTTATCAATTTCACGCGGCGGATTGGAAGTTGATCTGTCAGCAGTATCCTTATTTTCAGGGCAGATGTTTTTATTTGGCTTATAATTCCTTACTAAGTGTAGTATTTCATCTCGATGTACTCCGTCTTTGATATGATTTAAATCAAGTTCCTCGTCATTATAATTTGCTTCCGATAGTGAAGAAAGTGACCCAGAGGTTATTGAAAGCGAAAACATTTCGATTGACAAATTAGTCGGTATTCTCAACACAGCAATTATAGGACTTGAACAGCGGAACTTTGTAACTAAACAATAAATTATGTCTGTTTAATAGAATTAAAGAGAAAGTATTATCACATGAAACGAAGCAACTTAAACAACTTACATTGAAAGAAATGTTTAATAAAGTAAACAAATAAATATTAAGCTTTTTCTTTTTGTAAATTTTGATACCCTTTAGATCATAATTGTTCTTTATTTCATAAATTACGGTTTCATATTTTTAATTTTGTAATTTCTGCATGCCATCTTACCAGATTTAAACTGATGATAAAAAGTCATAAGGTAGGATTAATCTCTTATAAAATAAGATAACACTACTGATGTGATCCTTATACAGTGATACTTCGATATATGCAAATAAGATGAATAGGACTGTGGAGGTGAAAAAAAAAGATTATTGAAAAGTACAAAGATAGCATTAGTATCCGAAACTTTACTGTTACATACAGTATGCTGAGTACGATGATGTCTATGATTGTTAAAAACAAAGACGCTATTAAATCGGCTAACATTGTGGAGGAAGCGAAATCGATTACCAAACAAAGATCAGAGACGTTAGAGCATGTTGAAAAATTTCTTTTGATCTGGACAGCAGAAAAACATTTATGCACAGTATCATGTGCAGTGCTTCAGTTATGTACAGTATAAATTTCACCTTGTCTCTTTGTATTTTAGTATTAAACAGTGTTATAAGAACAACAATGGGATTTTTTATAAGAACGAATTAATTATCTTTCCTTCATTTTTTGTTGGAAGAGTTCGTTTGGTATACTCCAAGGATCTGGAACAGATTAATGACTTACACTGAGGTACCACTGTAACAAGTAAAATACGTATTTTCGAGTGCCTACAGGTGAGGGGCAAGATGGGAATGGAAATCCTAAATTATGAGGGAGATACATATGGGAAGATGCTTTTCATTTATAATTTTTTTTGCTTGAGGAAAGTTAATAATTACGTAAAAATCTTTTCCTACCTTTCTGGGAATCTCTAATTCTAGTAAATTGCTTTGTGTAGGCATATTTGATTAATTATAATTTATAGATTCTTGTTTTGAACTTCATTTACCGTAGTGAAGTAAAAATGTGGGTTTAAAAGTAATTTGAAATATATAAATAAAATTTCAACATAAAACTATGCATTACAGGTGCTTTAAAATAAGATGTATGCCCTATAAAATTGTATTGTAAAAATGGTTTGTTTAATATATTGTTCATGATGCGATTTTAGGAAATTTATTATTTATTTATCTGTTTATTCAGGATGCTGTAGCTCAGGTTAATAAGAAACAGGATGACATGCAGAGCATAGCTGTTAGTGGTATGTTATTTTATCTGCTTAACTTTCCAAAATGATTATTATTTTTCCTTTATTTTGCTGAAAATGCATGTCATTTTAATGTGCTGAATAAAGTAAGAATTTAGTATTTCTAGTCAACAGGCTCGAAAACCCGTTTGGTTTTCCGCATGGTAGGTACATTTTAAAAAGACAAATGAAAAACTGCTAAGAATAATATTCGGATTGCAGAGGCAAGAATGGCATTCCATCTTAAAAATAATGTGTGAAATTTCACTTTTTTTTTTTTTTTTTTTTTTTTTTTGCATTAAGAGTTATTAAAATAATCCAGTTATTTTAGGAATACCTAAAATAATCCAGGGTTCAATCTATCAACTCGGGAAGGCAGAAAATTGTCATTATTGCCTTATCCAGTTGCGTTGTTGACTTTGAGTAATAGTAGAAAACTACTGGATGACTTTTCCTCCAGTTTGAACTTTCAGCTGGAATGATCGCAGGCCAAGTTAAAATCCAAAAACTGTTTATTAACACGTCAACCTTATGGTTATACAAATTGAAATTTTAACAGGAACAGAACTCAGCTAGCTTGCGGGTAAACAAGCACAAGTTGAACTGAATACAATGCGGAGTACAAAATTTACTAATTTAGCCTAAACCTTGGTTTCACTCTTGACTAAGTGCTCGAGAAGAAATCGCGGTCTAAAATTAAGTAATGGCGAGACTATTAGGCTGTCAAATTATAGTGTTCCTCCCTTTTGTCTAACTACCCGGTGTAGAGGAACCAAATGAGCAGCTAAGCGAATAATCGCTTCAGAAATAGAAGTGTTAATCACTTCTATTTCTGAGGGCGTACAGCCAAGCCTCCACTTGGGTTTAAACTTAAAAGTGTATAAGAAGTAAGAACTTAACTAAAGAGATTTAGCCGAAGCTAACACAGTTCTAACTAGTTGCCCCTAAATATCGAATTAGCTAGCGAAGCTATCAAGGACCCGTAAGGCCCATATCACACGGCGTTTGTTTCACTCGAACAACTGTTTCGGACAATATTTTTCACTGGTTTACTATTGAAAGAAAGACGTGCGACTTTTTCCTTCCTTTCCAAAAAATTGCAAGTTGTTCGTTTCAACCAATCAGCTATCAGCTTTGAATGCTATTAACTTGTTTTTAATGGGGAACCAGTTTCCCCTGTGTTAACCCCAATGCGATCTATGGTGATTGGCTGTTGTGACAAAGCAGAAAAATTCTTCCAAACAGTTGTTCTTCCGAAACAAACCTCCGTGTGATAGCAGTCTTATATACGGCCGAGCGTAGTAAACAGCTTAGAGAGACGTGACCAAAATGCAAAAGCGCGCTAGTAAGAAACTCCGATTCTCTCTGTCGAAGTCAGTAGACTTCGACTTAAATACTACTCTTAACTCATTTGCATTAAACGCGATTCTAAAAGCGCATTCTCGTAGGAAATTTTAAGCTGAAATTAGGAGAGATAAGAAAGGAGCTTTAACGTAAAAAATAACTGCTGTAAACTTAGGATAAACCTTACAGAATGCATTCTGAAAAACTTAGCAACTAGGAACTTATTTATGCATTCAAATAATTTGCATTCTGATGAAAGTTATAGTAAAAGTAAAAATATCAAATAAACTGGATTGATTTAAAAAAAAAAAAAAAAAAACCTTACAATCTCTAGGCAAATCCAGAATTTCAGTTTCTTAGTTAACCGTGCTAGATAATTGGGAAAAACATCAAACGCCGTTCCGACAATCTAGGTGAATTATACTTTTACATTGTGCAGTATTTAAACTTTGTATATTAGATATTGACTAAAATGTCAAATATTCCTTTTTCAGAAAGTAATCCTGAAGATGCTGAAGTACGAAAACTTTGTCATAAAGTTTCAAATGAAAAAAATTCAAAAAATGCTCTACAGCAAAGGTATCTTATTTTAAATTATATCTAAGGAAATACTATTTTTTGTAATTATTTAAAGTTTGAGGCTAATTCTATTATAATTAATGTTAAATTTATGCCCGGGAAGACTGCTGGCTAATGCATAACAAAACAATGAACATTTTCTTAGATGGCTACCCATATTTTCTGACTATTTTGATCTTCTCTGGAAATGGTCTCTTTAGGAAAGTAACATTTAGGACCATGTTTGTTTATGTTCTCAGCAAGGCTAGCCTTAAGAATTTTGCCACCCTACGTTGTAGTATATTTCGTGGCTACCTTTGCTAATTAACTGTACGCCAATTGTGTAGTATAGACCAGTTTTGCTACTTCCAAAAATCTCTCTCTGCAATTGCATGTGTTACACCATTGGTTGAGCTGGCTCTAGTTATGAGACATACTGGTCATTTTGAGGGATTATCGCCGTGAGAAGGCTCACTGTGCAAGACCAAACTATAATTTTTAAAGGGGTATTTAAAGACGTATTCCCAGATGTATATTGAGCCAAACTGAACCAAACTGGGTCTGAATCTCTTTTTTGGCGAGGGGACGGGAGGCTTTGATTTCTAAAGAAATGAAAATAGCTGGAAATTTTCCATCATGAGAAAATTGAGGTGTGGAGATGAAGTTTTAGGATTAATTTAGAGGTGTTATCAGGTTCAATGTTCCGTCTTACTTTCTTTGGGAACATGCACAGACCTGACTCGGAACAGGGAGCTTACTAAAGCTATGTTCAATAAATGTGGGAAGTAGACAAGATACACAGGAAGGGTATACGAAACCCTTTATTTTTCACTCTTTACAATAATTTCCGTACTTCGGAATACAGAGACCAACTACTTGTGGTCTGAAAGTAAGAATATAAAAATATTTAACTAAACTCTAACTTAACTTTGGAATAATAAACAAGGGCCTACGGAAGATTGGCCTTATATTAACAGGAAGCCGTATGTAGTACAGAGAACTGTTAACACTACAATACGTTTAAAATTATCAAGAGGATTAAAACCTCTGGCCTGGAAGGCAACCAGCAACTGAGTAAAACTTCTAAGGTAAGCGGCCTGCTTCGACTAACTCCTTCCTCTCTCTCGCTTGGCAAAAAGCCACAACTTAAGTACTTGGCGTTCGCCAGACAAACAAATTTTGCATAAATAAGTTAACGCTTTAATTCTGGCCGGAAGTAGAAAATAAGAAGTGATAGTAAAGATTTAAAATAAAATAAACGTTAGTAAAACTTAAGATCCTTACATACTTCCCGCCAGAGTTAATTAGTTTGAAACTGAGGTCTAAAACGACCTTGTTGAAAACTTTTAGCTCTAGAATCTAACGCGAGGCCAATCTTTTACAAACATTTCTCACTAGAAACTAGAAATTTAAAAAAAAAAAAAAAAAATTGTTTTTTACAATAGCAGCTCCATGGACAACCAATTTTTTTCATCTGTACTGCATCTAAACAGGAGCTTTTATTCAAATTCTGGTTCCTTCCAGAGATCTGGAAGGAAAACTAGTTTAATGAAATGTTACACAATGAAATGGCAAGTAACATAAATATTTTATATTTCTCTTAACATTCTTATTTCATTCATGACTATTTTAATTATCTCTCCCCGTGCTCTCTGACATGTGTTGTAAAAGAACACCAAACACGAATGTGTTTATGTATACGTGTTCAACACTTCCTCCTACAATCAAAACACTAACGTGTTAAAATTCAACATAACAAGACCTCGTAACACACCCTAATTTCAACTCTAAACCCTGAGGTACTATTCTGAAAGTGGCTAACTCTGAAGTGTAGCGTCAGAGAGCCTAACTACATTCATTCAACCTTTAACACATATTCACCATGATTTGGTCTTTTTACAGTCACACGAATAAGTTTTAAAATTTTTTAACATTACTTTCACTTTTACCATATCACGGTATTTCTTAACATTTAAAATAACAGTTCACATTGTATATAAGAACATATTAACATGCCGTTAATTTTACGCATTTGAAAACATACATTAGTAGTACATTGTTAACTTCTATTCTTTTCCAAAGCAAGTGCCAATTCTTTCTACATTGAAATACTACATTTCAAAAAGTCTTTCAGACTAAAACTTCTTTCTTGCCAGAATGTTTTAAATAAAATTTATACAATAACTTTTTACAATATTTAAGTCTTTACACAATTCGCTATTATACATCAACTTTAGTTTTACGCGCGAGTAATTGAAAAACATAATACCAAAATCGGTAACAACTCATTTCTCGCCTTTTTGGCGATAAAGGTAGACCTCACATGAGGTAAAACTTCTTGAAATCTGCCACTTGCAGTAAGAATGAAAGATTAACTTAAGTTTGCAAAGTAACATAAAATTTTACTTATCTTTGTGATATTCGGACATTCCTTTTCTGGCCCAGTCCTGGAAGGTAGCGCAGATTCTAGCTTTGATTTATCTTCCTTCTTGTGCGGGCTCGCCCTTCAGTGCCTTCCTCTAGAAGCTTTCTTTTTCCTCCAGTTCGGTCACCCTTGAATACCTTCTTTTTCGCCTCTGCCTGTGGTCTTGGCCGTTTGATGGCAGCTGGTCTTGGCGGAACCGGGAAACTTCTGTCGCGTTCCTGCTTGGACCTCGTTGCTGGCCGTTCAAATTTTCCTTGTACCTTTTCCTCCGCCGCTGGTGGCCCTTCCGCAGTTCGGCGACATTTGCTGCGGAGAGTCCTGTCCGATGAGTAGATCTTCCGTTTGGGAGCCGGGTTATAGTTGCCGTCATTTCTCCTGGCTCTCTTTGCATACGTCGTCCTTCTCCCTTCTTCATTCTGGGGGTGTTCGTGAGCTCTCTTTTCTGGACGGTGGAAACGGCTTCTTTTTCTTGTTACCTTCAATTTTCCGCGGGGAAACTTTCTTTTCACTTGCTCCTGCCTCCTAATGGCTTGCCCTTGTACTTGTCGTTGTTCCACCTCTGGAGCTTGTGCCTGCCGTGCCCGGAATCCTGCAAAAGATCTTTGAAAAAATTTGCATTTTATTACGATCATAGTAGGGTTTTATTTGATCAATGTTTGCGGAGCAGGTTTTTCACCATTTCTTGGCTTTTAACACCACTACAGCGTGAGTTATTTTTTCTATGACATATGGTCCTTCAAATCGTGGAAAAAATTTGGCAGTTTTTTTATCTTCTGGTGCTGAAGAAAGTGAATGCTTAATTTTTAACACTTCATCCCCTACTTTATAAGTTACTCCCCGTCGTTTCAAATCATAATACAGCTTTTTGTTTTCTCTGTGCTACTTCAGTATTCTTTTTTGCTTCTTTAATTAGTTTTTCTATATCACCCATTTTAAATTCTGGGGCTCTTTGTTGCACATAAAATAATTTATCTAACGGCGTTATAATCTTTCTGCCTAAAAATAACTCAGCAGGAGTTTTGCCCGTTGTATCATGTTTTGCGGTCCTAAGGGCGAAAGCAAATTCATTGACATAGTTATCCCAGCTTTTATGAAAATTTTTAACATAACTACGGATAATTTTCACTATATTTCTATTGACCCGTTCCGCTATATTTGATTGCGGCCGATACGGGACCATTTTTAAATGACGTATGCCCAGTTTTTGGCACATGTCTTCAAATATATTACTTACAAATTGAGGACCATTATCCGATATAACTTTTAGGGGCGCCCCGTATTTTAAAATATATTTATTTAAAATAGAATCAGTAACTAATTTCGCGGAGGCTCGTTTTAAGGGAACAATTTCGGTCCACTTACTAAAATGATCAACCATAACAAGGAGATAGCGACTTTTATTTAACTGACTTTTTGGGAAAGGGCCCAATAAATCGATGCCAATTATTTCATTTGGAAATTCGGATTTAATACTATTTAGAAACCCGGCCGGGCGGAAATTAATATAATTAACTGCTTGACATGTTGGGCAGGACTGGACATACGCCCTTGTTAACTTTTGCAGTTCAGGAAAATAGACTGCCTCGCGTACGCGTTGGATAGTTTTTCGAATACCAGCATGAGAAGCTAAAGGGCTGTCATGGAGCTCCTGCAGGATATTTAATCTAAGACTAGCTGGGATAACAGGTCGAAATTCGTTGTTGGAATTCGTAGTTTTTGTATAAAATAATAGACCATCTATTAGTTCGTAATGGGCCGCCCTATTTCTTATCGCCACAATATCTTGGTGGCTAAAATTTTCAGGATCCTTTAAATACTCATAAATGCTTCCAAACTCAGGATCCTTACCCAGTTCGGTTATTACAGTTTCTCGGGAATTTATTGTACATGCTGTGAGCATTGCCACCTTTACAGGTATTACCTTCTTCATCTATTTTAATTCTGGATAGGGCATCTGCTACGATATTTTCCTTTCCGGGGGTATGCTTGATTACCAGATTATATTCTTGTAGCTTGAGTGCCCATCTTATTAACCTTGGGGATAAGTTTTTCCCTGAGTACAATCTAGTTACCGCCGCATGATCAGAGTACACTGTTATTGGCGCCTTTCCAAAATAGACTCGGAACTTTTGCACTGCTAACAGAACTGCAAGTGCCTCTCTCTCGGTCGCGGAATAGTTTCTTTGTGTTTGATTTAAAGTTCGGCTAAAAAAATGCCACGGGCTGCTGATTTTGCGAAAGTACCGCTCCTACCGCATAATCCGAAGCATCCGCTGAAATTTCTAAATTCTCATCCTTTTCAGGAAATTTCAACACAGGGGCTTGCGTTAATGCTTGTTTTAATTTTTCGAAAGCACTATTGGCTTCGGCCGTCCACGAGAATCTTGCCTTTTTCCTTTTTAATTTTAACAATGGTTCAGCAATAGCTGCAAAATCTTTTATAAAGGACCTATAATATGAACAAAGTCCTAGAAAAGAAGAGAGCTTCTTCGCCGTGTTTGGAGTCGGATACTTTTGTACAGCGATTATTTTTGATTCGTCTGTCTCGATTCCTTTCTGAGATATTTTGTAACCTAAATATTTTAATTCAGGGGCT